AGACTTATCTGGAAAAGAAAATTCAAAGAAGAGCTTTCAATTGTTTGTGTGGCTCGCACCACATATTTTTAAGCTCCTCTTTATCATCATGTAACATTAAGTAATTGTTTCAGCATAGTTCTGTAAGCCAGTTGAATAGAGAATGTGGTCAAAATATGTCCTGCAAGAGTACTAGCTGATGGTCAGTAAAATACTAGTAATGAAAGAGCCATCCTTTTTCTGCCTTTCCAAGATATGTCAGTTAATTATTTGCTTAGACTATCATAAGAGTAAGGTTAAGAAGTCTTTAATATGTTGACTCCTAAAAGGCATTCTAGAGCATAACAAAGGCTTAAAAGTAAACCATACATCAAAACTAATAAAATCCTCAGGTATCACCTCAAAGTTACAAGCCTCTGATCAGACCTGAAGGAATAAAGAACGGATTTCTTTTCCTATACAGTGCTCAGGTAGCATCATTTGAAAATGGATTTTAGCCAAGAAAAATGTTCCTACATTCTTCCTGTCTTTTCCTGAGATTCAGCAATGTAAGCAACTATTTAAACTGGCCCGCAAGGGAAAAAGTGTTCAGAAAAAAAAAAAAAAATCAGTAAATCACCATGTGGCTTTGCAGCTTTACTAATTCCACATCTCCAATGCCCAAATGAAGATCACAAGGCCTATGGCTGCACTTCTCTGCCAACGACAGGAAAACAAACTGGGAAGAGTTTTTAAAAAAAATTAATTCTAAACCTTTCTATAGAGAAAGCATAAAAAAAGAATTCATAAATGTTATAAACTACTGGATATTGGCAAAGCCATTTCTATTACCTATTACCAAGAAGGTAAGGAAAAAATATCTGAACAGTAAATCCCAAATAAATAGGTATTTTATCTATACGGTGCCCGACACCAGAGAGAGAAATCTGGAACAAGAAACTACCTTCTGGTGTTAAATCCAGTTCCTTGCAAAGCCAGCCACTATACCATAAAGCCCTTTCAAAACTCTTCCTTTCAATAAGCTGAAGAACAGACATTTTGTTATCAAAAATATACTGTTTGAAAATACACTAACCCTTTTGCTTATTCATACATCAGTGAAATATTTGAACTTTTCAGTTGCAGCCCAGTAGAGACTTTGATGATGAATATGCAACAAACAGTGCTTCATATACCAAGCAGAGTGCATTGCAATAATTTAGATGGAAAGGTAAGAAGGAAACATGTTATAATGGTGCAATCTGTGTTAGGATGAAAAATACTAAAAGCTCAGAGTCAGATGGAAATGCTCAAGAACAATATTTTAAAAACTAAGTGGGGACCAACAGGCATAATGGAAAGAGAATCTGTGGAAATGCATTCAGGCAGTGTCTTAGATGCATATTTTAGCATATCTTTAGATGTTATACAACACTGCCAAGATGAAGGTCCAAGCTCATCCTTCCTCACAAACTCTTCTGCCTACCTGTAGGAATTTCACTTATCTATTCTGCCTATTTCAGAAAAATCACACAAAACTGCAATGAAATAGCCCTATTGCCAAAGATTTCTTCAAGAAGGGTCTGTAAGCATTTCCAGTAACAAGGAGGCCATGAATATTTTCCAAAGACTTTTGGCATTTCAGTGGGATCCCTTTCAGATTTTCAGCAGCAGTCTACTTCTTCAGAAACCTTTAATCATCTTTACGGCTGGCAAGACATGTGTTGGAAGTTTTGGAAAACTGAGAATGTAAAAGCACATAACTCTACAGAATTCACTAATAGAAAGTGAGAAATAAAACCTGCACACTATTATTTGAAACTTCAAAATTTACTGATAATAAATGGAATCTGGCTAGAAGCGTTCCGAAGTTAATATTCTTCAGTAAGCATCTCCAGAGCTAAATTGTTCTTACAAGAATGTAGGTTTCTTCTACCTACATTTTGACACTTTCTGAACACAACAAAACTGAAAAGTTATTTTGTGTTCATATAAAAAATATCTCCTTTCTTGTCCTGAACCTTCTCCTTTTCTTCTGTCTTTCTACTGTTCTACAACTTCTCCAGTCACAACAGACTACTATGCACCTCTGATGCCTCTCCGACAGATTTGAAGTGCAGCATTTCCAGAAAATGTTGTTGAAGAAGGGTAGGTGGCAAAAACAGAATCCTAGAATATGAGAAATTCAACATCTAGAATTTCACAGAAGTTCTTGCATTCCTGAGTGAGAAGATACGGGAGATTTATACTCCCTGGGAGCTGAAGACTTGCAGACAATATTTGGAAAGAAAAATAAAAGAAACAAGGAAAACAATAACAGAAGAAATTAGAGCTTGTTGAAGAAGTTTTTGTACATTTATGAAAATCAACATTAAAATTCTAAAGGTTCTAATCCACATCCAAATGGAAACGAGTAATTCTAAGCTGTTGGAAGTTTCCACTTTCTAAGTCTGTTCTCAGTTACCACTCTTGGTCTTCCACTCTACAAAACTACAAAAAAAAATTATTTTTGAAATTTTATGCAATTAACAGTTGCAGCTCACATCTTACATTTTTAAACAATTGTGTCCTGTTGCACAGAAATATAATTTCTACTTAAAATTTGTGTTGATGTTGATAAACTCAAATGCTACTGCTGATTCAAACACTAGGTCTCCTAAGTTTTGAGACCTGAACCAAAATGTTACCACCCAAAAGTAGAATCTTCTTCAGCATAGGGTCTCATATGCTGGTAGCTGGCAAAAGAAGTGGGTAAGATCACTTCTTTCTCTGTCCAGATGAAGGAACTGTATTCCCATCCTTTTGGTAACAGCATGTATAGTTAAGGGAGAATATTTCTGCTTCTGAAGATAATAAAGTTAATGAGGAGACTTCGATTTCCTCACACTACGTAAATCTAAAAACAAAAATCTAAACTTTTATTTTAGTAAAACACAGTGGGAAAAAAAAGTGGACCTGAACTGCAGATTTTTTGAAAGTATCTTAAAAATCAAAATAAAAAGTTATACACACTTATTGGTTTAAAAATACAAAAATGTTATGTAGAAAACACACAAGAATATGAATAGAAATATATCTATTGCACAGGTATGTATATAATAGATAAATATATGCGCTAAATATAAGACAGACTACACTATTTTTTATGCAGATGATAACAAGACTTATCTTTATATGGTGTGATTTATGGAAGTAGAGAAGTAAGCAAAAAGAGCAAATCCAAAAACTCTGTTATTAGCACCAGCACATGCAGGAATAGATAGATGATATACCCAGTGATAACAGATGGCTTTTAGAAAAAATGCTCTCGCTTCAACTGTGGTGTGATTGAAATGTTACGACCAAACACCTAATGTGATCCCATTGTACACACAGTCTCCAAATTCACATCTTTTCCCCCACATTTTGTTGTTTTGTGTGCCCCTTAATAGGTAAATCAAATTTCAGTTGTATATAAGCCATGGAACACAACAGTACTGTATGCAACTGCTGTAGAAGAGCCCTTTATAATTTCAAATGAGACATTGCCATTCCTCTGTTAAATTTCATTGGGTAATTTAAAACATATGTAAATAGATTAATGGTTTTATATCCTTTTGGTTTGTATTATAAAGACTGCATACCATCAGTTGCAGTAACAGCTTTAACATTCAGAAAATGACAATAGATTGCAATCTCTGTGGTACAGCAGTGATTAATCATCTGGGGGTGTAGGGTGGGGGGAATATTTTGCTGTTTAAACTTGTTTCCCTCCTACATGTAAGATGGTGGAAAAATACTAAGAAAGGGAAATGTTTACACACTGACTTGATTCCCAAGACAAATAAAATCCACAACTGACTCCACATATAAAGTCTAACTTAGTTATACTGAGATAGTAAAGTGCATCAAGTATCCACATATGTAATGTGGTAATCTCAGACTGAAAAATATTTTGGAAGTAGAAAGGTTCCAAGCACTTGCCTTTGTGGGGTAGAAGGCTAAGTCAATCAAACTGGTATGCAAAAATACAAATGTTCAAATTTATATTTACAGCTGTCATTTCTAAACTCAGACTCAATTCCTGAGTACAAATTACAAATGTCAAAGGTTTTATGCAGCAATGGAAGGAAAGATATATATGTGCACAGGCAGCTACAAAACCACAGAGATTTTTGTATAGAGTGGTTTTGTAATGGTTAAACCTGCAAAGGAGAGTACAAATTACTAGAAAAATAAATTTCATCCGCAAAAGAGCTCCATAGGTAATAGCTTTAGTGGAATAAAAATAGGAGTATTTGGGTATTTTAACATTTTGTCACATAAAACAAACACCTGTAATGTGTCTACACCACCAACTTATCCCTTCTACAAAAAACTAATGTAGCTTCCCTCAGAATGAAACAGTTTTCCCATTCAGCTGCTGTAGAACTAGTCAAAAATTTTTGTTTTAAGAAGTGTTAGTGATACATGTTATATGTGAAACCAATATCATATTTCAGAATGCTTTTTTTTAAATCAAAATAGAAATGAATTCTAACAGATCCAACATATCATGTAATAACGTAATCCACATCAAAATTTTTACATATTCATCCAAGTACTCTAGAGCTAAAATGAATTCAACAAAGTCATCGATACAATTAGGGATTTTCTCTGTACTAGCTCTCTGTATTAAAGGAACAAGATAATGCCCTTCCATCTCTGAAGGCAGAAATCTCATCCAGCCTCCAAGGTAACACTGAGTTATGAAAAGTGTGGAGAATTCCCCTTCACCATTGAAGAAAGAAAAATCATCCTTCACAGACAAATCTTTTGTCATGTTGCTCTAGACCAAACAAATGAAAATATTTCCATTCCGTAAAATCAGACAGAAGGTTTTCTGTCACCAGAGAATGAACTAAATACTGGACATTAATCTACGAGAAGCTACTTTATAAGCTTTCTTCTGAGTCAAAGCAGACGACTTCTGAAACAGTGTCTTTTGCAACAACAGTAATCCAGTTCACCCCCACCTGGGAATTGATTTTTAAAGGCAAGGATAGCTCACACAGGTGTGTTGTCACTTTTTCATCCCTTGTTCTCCACAGGAAGGATTCAGGATGATTCAACGGCAAGAGTAAACCACTATGCCACCTTCATGCTTTATAGGAAGACATGTAAACAAAATAAAGTACGCATGAGCAAAGAATATAAAAACAAATATCTGCACGTTCAGTTTTCTGTATGAAAATAGTGTAGATAGCTAAAACATCAGAGTAAAAAAGCATTGATGTGAACTTTTTAAAAACAAATATTGAGTTAATAACTAACATACTAACCTATACAATTAAAAATTTTAGAGGCTCATTCCCTCTAATTCATAGGTAAACACTATACTGAACTTTCTAACATTTGGTTTAATTCAGACTTCATAATGGTTCTACTAGCAATCCTAATTCTGTTTTTATAAATGGATCTCTCCAATAGTTAGGATAGAGTCTATCACTGATTTTATGAGAGGTAAAAAAGAAAATAAATTGGAGTTTATTTTGATTGGAATAGATTAGTAATTAGACTGTCACATTTTATACTTAGTCAAGATTCTTAGTAGTGATACCTAGCTTCTTTTTCTACATACAAAATATTGTAATGTTCACATGCTCATTACCTATGCATTGTCCTGATAGATATATGTGCTCAGCGACAAAACAGAGAAACAATAAAACAGTTTTTAAAAGTTTGGTAACTATTTGGAACCAGCAAGCATTTTTGAGGCTTGACCATATCTGTCAAAATGACTTTTCCAGAAAACAGGCTGCAATTAGAAAGGAGATATTCTGAAGGGATTTCCAAAACCATTAATCTAGCTCAGCACTACTGTAGTCTCCAATCGGGTTCAGCCTTTTCTTCTATATCTTTCCAATGAAAAGCTCATTTTAGCAAAGCCTTCAGAAACCTATAGAATGACATTAATCTAATTTACAGAATGAGATTTAGAAAGAGTTGCTGTACGTACATCGCAACCCATGTTACTTTTCTTCTTTTCTTCTGTACTTCAGATAGACAGCTAGAGACACTGAAAGGTCATGGAAGAAGAGTATAACTCAACTCTCTGTGAGGAAAAAAAATAATAAAAGAAGAAGATTTGGTCAGAAAAAATTTCTCAGTGTGGAGAACTGCTTTTCCAAGATACCTAATGGGTAAAATGTATCAGCATCAAGAGTCAGTAAAAGGTTTGGTAATATTCACTGGCTCTGTTCACCTTTGGAAGAAATAACATGCCATCATTACTCTGTGCTTAATACCTAAGTCTGGCAATATTCCAACATATTAGCAGCAACTTATTGTTTAGCATGTTTATAAAAAATAAATACAAATCACAGAGACAATTTTACGCAATGGATTTTCAGGAAGGATTAATTCATCTAATTTACAATTTACTTATATCACCCCTAATCTATCAACTGAGTTCTTGCATTTTCTCTGTGGCCTGCAGAGAATTCCAGTTCTTCTCAATTCAAAATAAGCAAGCTGCACTGCCATGCTGAATCACTTAATTTCTCCACAGCAAGATCCTTCTAAATGCTCCAGATCCTTCTAAATGCTCCAGACTGTAGCACAGTATCTCTCATCAGCAGAAGATTTCTTGTTTTGTTTGTTTGATTCTCTGCAAAATTATCCTTGTTATGCTTTAAATATATGTATTAGTAGTTTTCATTGAGGTAGATTTTAAAACATTAATTTAAGTATCTGTATTAATTCAGTACCTGAGATGGCACACATCTTTCTTTAAGAATAAAACTGGAGCAGAAGGCTTACCCTTGTCAGACTGCTTGGATTATAAAAGTTTCTTCTCCCTGGAAATTTCAGAGGCAGTGAAACTTAGGCTCAGTCTTAGCTTCTGGCTCCCCAAAACGCTGACTTCTTTCTAGGAAATTTTGAAAGAAATTTCTAGAACATATTCTGGAAATCCTCCATATTCAAGCAGCAGAAGTTCATGATGTTTAACTTACATGCATATCATAAAATCAACTTTGAAAGGTTTTTGGAAAAAGAAATATAAAATGCTATTTATGAGGCTCGTCTCCATTCAAACTTTTGTGATCCAGACCATCACATGATTGCCAATTTGCCAGTATAAATAGGAAAATTGTCGTAATTAAGTTTCCCTGTGCTGCTGTTCTGGAAAGTTTTGACCATTTTGGATGTTCCTAAGTCAATGGTTATCCAAGAAGCAAAAATAAGAGGAAGGCCATGGCAGGAAGGAATTGTGCATCACTGAGCACAAGGATGCCAGCCCAGTAATTGTACTGACTTGTTTGTAAAGGAAGAAGAAACTGATGAGATGCCCTAATGAGGCAGAATTAACTCGTAGGTTTCCAGGAGAGCCAGATTCCATGGGACAATGCAGACATGCAACATTGCTATATGAAAACCTTCCAGAGGGAGTCTGGATGATTATGTTATTGAAGCGTCTCATTTTTTTTACCACAGACTGTACAGAAAAAAAGAAAAAAATGAATGGAGATTTGTTGTTGATTTCTGCAAATGATTAGAGTATTAGCAAAGATGTTCAAGACTATTATGATTTTCATTCTTTGGAACAAGAGTCTCAAAACATAAAACATCTTTTAGGTACTTGTGTATGAGAGGATAAAAGGGAAATTATTCACATCTTCTGGGCACCTGGCCTTCTTTACAGCATACGTTCATACAGAAGACAAGTCAGAGTAGGAACGTAATGTAGTTTCCTAAAATTAAGGACTAACAGAGCCACTTAATGTGACTTCCTTAAAGGTATACCCACATTTAAAACAAAATAAGACAAAAAAAAAAAAAAAAATACAGTTCTGATTCTTCAGTGTGGTCCTGAAATTTGTCCTTAAAAGAGTACTCCTTTTTTAAACACCATCTTTTTGTTAGATGGTAAATAAAATTAGACTTCGGCCATTTACCTATTTCATTTACATATTTCTGGTTCATGAAACATTTAACTGAGATTGAACAACAATCATGAATAGCTGAGACAAAACAAAACCATATATCGACATTCCAAAGCATATTTAAATGTTTCCTTTGCCATTTTCTTCTTTGTTTTCTCCTAGTAAGAAATTTAACAGGAAAACATGATGTACCAGAGTTAAGTCATTGATGTGCACATTTTTTCAGGAAAGTTGATGTGTTTAACAAAAATCAGAGAAAAAATCTACAGGTCATTTAGGGATTGAAGAAAATGGATGGAGAGGGCCAGCAACATGTATTTTGGTCTCAAAGGAGCAGCAAGAGTGAATAAACTGCCAAGATTTCTTTCCCATGCCAGAAATATAAGCCAGGTCCTATTCCTGGAATAGGAAAATTTAAGTCAGTGCAGCAAAGCTGGCCAACTAGCTTACCTTGGGTAGAAGTTGTTCTAGATTGTAGCTCTAATTTATGTGGGCTAATGTAAAATACTTGCCTAACCAACAAGCTTGCATGTAAAATCAGCTCTTCCTAAGTACGTTAATTTTGATGGCATGGGCTGCAGACAACTGAATGATTTCAAGAGCTTTGCAGTAAAGTCTGAGTCAAGGCATGCAATTTCTACTCCACCAAAAACAGGCTGATACAAAATTGTGTCAAAGTAATAAATCATCTACTGAAAATGCTACAGGCACTAAACCACCCATTTAGCATTATCCAGTTACAGGCAGACACCAAGAAAGCCTCAGTTGTCAACTGATGATATTTTTATTTAACTGAAAGTGAGAAAACAAACGTTTGCACTATTAGCAGTGGACATTAGAACTGCTGAGGATCTGCAGAAATATAAAGAGCCTCAGTAGGCCACAAATGAAAAACAAACAAAAACAACAACAACAAAAAAAAAAACAGTCTGATCTGATTTCTTAGGAAATACCATTACCTCAAAACTAGGCAAAGGCAACAACATGACCATCTGCAACTGAAATCCCAAAGAATGTTTCCTTTTACCGTTGAAGTCATCATTTCATTTAAACTGAGTCTGCACATCTCCCATCTCCAGAAGTGAGACCTAATCACATCAGGGCAAAGAGTTGTTGGGGTTTTTTTGGGAGGGGGAGGAATTTTTCCCCATTACAGTAAATGACTGTTTTACAGAAACACATCTTAAATTCTCTTTTCTATTTCTCTTCTCTAAACTGTCCGCTGATTTTTCCTCTTAAAACACTGACGACAATTATCCTTTCCATAAATATTTCTCTGAATGCATTGCAAATAAAAATTATTTCAATTTACTGACCCATGAAAAGTCTTTCTGTAATTTAATCATGGATAATAATAATCTTGAAGCTGTGAAATGCCTCAACTGCAATTTTCTGTAATGAACAATAAACTTTTATATTCAGTAATAATGAAGTGTATATTCACTGAGGCATACATTTCTAACCACATAGTTCTGAGAGGAATGACATTTTTAAAAGCAGTTACACTCCACACTAATTAATTTTGAGAACATAAACACTCTCCAAAGTTGCAGAATTAGACAATTATATAATTATGAGTTGTAATCATAACAGTTTTTTACTCTGAAGCTATTATTCTCACCATTACTAGGCTCCTGAAGCACATGGATAAATACTACAAACGAATCAGCAATACAAAATGTATGCTTTAGATCTTAGCTTAGAGTTCAGCTATTTACAGAATTGTTTGTGTCAATGGCTGTTCTCACAGCAGTAAAGCTTTAAAACTTAAGAAAATCACTGAACCAGATTCTGTCTTCACATAATTGGAGTTGTAGACGGTTTTGTTTGGGAGTGTTCATTTAAAATATAAAGCTGCAACTGACAAAACCCAGGTTATACCCCACATGATACAAGAGCTGGATTATTCGTTGTTCTGGACATATAATTAAAATGATGATTGGCTCTATGCACCTTACAAGCAATTAATATATATTTTTTCCTTTCAACTATCATCATCTAAAATCACCAGGAAGAAAAAAAGATACAGCTACTGAGGGAATTTCCAAATTAAGAGGTCCCTGAGACTCCAAAACAAGCCTCAAAACTGTAACAGACACTCTTATTTTTGTAAAACGTGCACACTAGCAGAGGCCCAGCTTACTGCTTTTAACTACTGCAGCACTTACACTTCAAGGCAGGATGCCCTGAGGCCAGTACAAAGGGATCCCAGAGCTACCTAGCATCATGGACTAACGAATCTTTTCCCATGACAGGTACAGACCTCGGGACTGGGGTGGGAGCCAAACTATCAGAGGAAAAGTTCAGTGAATCTGCAGTGACATAGGCTGTGTACAAGAACACGCAGCAGTCTGGAAGATTTGCCTCTATGCATTTTACCACGTATTTCATAAATCTTATTGCACATCTATTTGTCACAATACATTTCATTCAACAGCACATGCTATCAAAACCACACATGAGCCAAGATGCTGCCAATCTTCAGCTTGCTTTCTGTAGAGAAATGCACCTATCATAGTTGTGAGGACATTTTCCTGTTGCTCCATCAAAACCTCCTTTAGCCTCTTGAGTGCTTCACCACTTTTTTAAAACATAACATAATTATTCTGACACTCTTAGAAATTAGTGAATAATCTTACTACTTCTATTCAAAATGTAACATAAGAACAATACATTCTCCAGATATCTACAGTGGACCTTAACTCTCATTTGCGATGAATGTACTGGACCCATTGCCAGTGCTAATGTATAGAGATGCAACCTCCCCAGAACAGTGCAGATCTTTTCAGTCTCAACTTGCAGAATGCAGGGACCTGCAATTTCACATGCCCTTGCTACAAGTCAGCATTGGCTGCACTTGAGTGTGAAGCCTAGCTCAAGTTTCACCTTTCTTTCAACTTCTTTGCTGGTTTCTGAAACCTAAAACCTGAAAAGGATTTAAAAGCAGGGTTCTTCTCACCTAATTTCAAATGTGGCAGTATGCATGCCTATGTGTGAGCCAGTCATCTGAACTGCCTCTTCAGCCAACAGAGGGAATAAACAGTTCCAGATTACACGTTTGACCTATTCCAAAGTCAAATTTAAGCACAGATTAGCAGTGTGATAAAACTCCTTTTTTTTTTTTTCTCTCTCTCTGTATTGACCATGAATACAGTCTATGTGACAAATAAATCAACAGCCAATCAATTTTAAAAATTTAACTTCACTGTAGACACATTTTAAAAGAGTTGCTGTGCAGATCTCCTGACAAAGTCTTTCTTTCAGTCTCACTTAGAAGAATAGATCCATGTAAAATTTTATAGCTAAACTTGGCCTGATAGAAGTCACAGATTCTGGTCAAGTAAAACATTTCACACACACACACACATGCACACACAGAGAAAGGTCTATGTTAAATATAATCTATAATCTATAATCTATATTAATTTTGATCAGGAAAAGCAATATATTTATATGATTGTATAAATAATAAATATTTATACAATTATTTTTTTATTTTGACATTTTTCTAATTAAACATTTTGTATTCAAAGCCACATTTTACTTTGAAACTTCCTTTCACTTTAACCAGAGAACAATTGTTATTGGAATGAGAAAAACAAAAAGTCAGCAGCTCTTGTTGTCACCTTGTGGGTCACATTAAGGACATGGTCCTGTGATAGAAGAGAATCTCCTTTGTAATGGTACAGATTCTCACCTTGTATCTCATGTCAGTTCTTGCAAAGATGGAAGTTCTTTGGCACTGCAATTTATCCTTCCCTTCAGCTTTTGGCTCATTCCTAGGATACATCTGATGGACGCTAATCCACCCTCATTAGCCTACTGAGAAAACAACAGATAGCTTGCAAGCCTTGAAATGCTTGTTCAAGAAAGTCGACATTTCTGGCAAAGAGCTTACTGTGTCTCCAATCAAGACAAAAGGAGAGACTGGATCACCATAATGAACTCTAATTTTGT